TGTTCTCTCTTTCTCTTGTCTTCTTCCTCATCTTCTTCTTCCTTCTTCACTGGTTCGGATTACTGTAGCTGCTCCAAAACAGTTCAAAATTCATTTACTTGTCAGTGTCAAGTCTTTAGCCTTTGGTAGTTCATGTAATATAAGTTATTGCCTAACTAGGAACAACATGAGTTTCAAAACCAGGCTACACTCATTATTTCTATTGAACAAAACAAATTTGTCTAATCTGGTGAACTCTTTTCCTTGATCATAAATCATAAATTCATAAAACTTTTTTCCTCATGCGGTAAACGCATACCCAGAAATCCAAATCACCTAAAAAGGAGGATAGTATAAAAGACAATAAATTGATAAGCATCCGGCAGATGCCAGAGTTAAAATGGGTTGCTTCAGACTGAAATTGTAGAGTACCCATTGCGGTCTAGAGAGACCAATTCGCAATTCAATACATAACAACCATAAACCAACATCAATGGTCCACATTTCTAATAGCATCACCAAACAACATAAGACCTGCTAACTACTGAAACAAAACATAAGCTCAAGCTTCCCACATTTTCCTAAGAAAAAGGTTCAAAATTTACAGTTCCATTGGGTCAATTTAACATTTAAATCAAATTCCAAACGAAAAGTCTCACCCTTTTAGGGTAAGGTTCTTTTGAAGGCGTCTTAGTGTAGACTATCGACGCACGACGTGTGAACGAAGCGTTCGCCCTCCGATCCTGGACAATGAAAAAACAAAAACAATACATTAAAGAAAAGGAAAGTTCACCAAAAGAGAGAACAGATTAAATTAAGAGTATTTCCCAAAAATAGTACACAAGGAAAAAAAAAGGATAAAATTTTGAAATGTACATGAAGAACCCCTTGGAAGTATCAACGTAATAAGCTTAAAGCTTACCATGAGAGATTCCACAAGCGGGACCATCTCGACGAGGTTCTTATAGAGTACCCTGTCCACATTGCTATTGCTTCCGTTTCCGTTAGCGAGGGAGGAGTTAACTCGTTGAGATAGAAGAGGAGATGAGTGATCTTCTCCCGACAGCCATGATTTTGAGTCTCCAAATCTTTCCTGCAAGTCGACGAAATGCTGATGCTCAAACATAATCGATTAGTTGGTGGAAGCCCTTAAAAAGATCGATACTCTGTCTGGTCTCTCAGGAATACATTAAATAGGGAGAAATTGCAGAGACTTCACCCACGAAGGGGATACTTGCTTTTTCAGAAGAAAAAATCTCCAGATCCAGAGGGAAGTTCTCATCGCAAAATAAAGAGATCGTTCCCACTAAGTTCCTAATAGAGTTCAGGTGAATCTGGCCAACCGTCACACCGAAGTGGTTTAGGACCTCGACAAGAAGAGGGTGGAAGGGCAGTCGCAGCCCCGCGGCGAGCTGTTCCCGGAAAATCACGATCTCA